ATTAATAACATTTCTTACCCTGAGGCTTCGTAACTATTGTTCCCTACTCCATCTCGGACATATGCCACTGCACTAAGCTCCACTGCTACAGTGGGGGTGCAGACGGACCTTTCTATGCCTCCATCTGAGTCTTTTTCACACCATGTGAAGGGTCTTCTGCCCTCCTTGAATAATAGAGTTGACCGGTCTACGTCTACTCCAATCTCTGTTCACACTATTCCTTCCAGTGACTGCCTGGGTCAACCTCCTTAGGCACCAGCCTCCGGTGTCTGCTCAGGTCCTTCTTTGGCCCCCTAAATGCAGGATGATCATTTGATCATGTCCTCAGTCATCGGATTCTCACTCTGATGACAAGAGATCTGTCCACTTGATCAAGGGCAGGATCCATGGAGGTCGATTGACCTTCATCTAGTAAAGAAAAACAATGTGGTTGTAAACCTAAGGGTTCTCCACTGTCGAGGTTTTCGTTCTAATCTTGATCGACTCCTATCATCCCGTGTGTCTCTCCTTACAGGAAACATTTCTGAAACCTGCCGATACAGTCACCTTTCGGCAGTTTTCTTTGCACCGGAATGACAGGCTGTGTGATGGACAGTTGCATGGAGGGATGGCACTGCTGGTCGACCAGCATGTGCCCTCCTTATCTATGTCCCTCGATACACCCTTGGAGGCCATTGTCATACGTGTTTCCTTGAGTCGTGCCATCACTGTTTGTTCCCTCTACCTGTCTTCTGGCGAGACTTATGATCAATTGGACCCTGATGCTCTCATTGACCAGTTGCCATCTTCCTTTTTACTTCTGGGAGACTTTAATGGACACAACCCCCTTTGGTGTGGAGCTGATACTGATGGGAGGCATCATTCTGTAGAGCATATGCTCTCGGATCACAACCTTTCTCTCTTCAATACTGGAACATATGCTTATTTTCACTTTTCACTCACTTTTCTTGGATGGTTGACAGTGGCCCACGGGGCAGTAACCATTTTCCTATCATTATGAGGGAGGTTGGCCACAGTGGAAGTTGGACCAGGCTGACTGGCCATCTTTCACCTCTCTCTCTGAACTTGATCTTGCCTTTGTCTGTCTGCCATCAATAGACGACTTTGTGGTTGCAGTGACTAACTGTATCGTCCAAGCAGCTGCTCATTTTATTCATAAGACCTCGACACATTTTCTACGGTGGAGTTCTGCCTGCCAGGAGGCATGGAAGGCTCAATAATGGGGCTGGGATACCTTCCAATGATATCCCTCTCTTTCTAACCGCATTGTTTATCAGTGGGCCCATGCCCATGCTCAGCAGGTTTGGTGTCAAAGCCAGAAGGAGTCTTGGATCAAGTTCACTACTAGCATCTCTTCTACCACCAGTCCCAAAACTGTATGGGACAAGATTTGGAGAGTCACTGGGAGGTATGCTTTCCATCTTGCTCTCCAGTGGCCAGGAAGTTGCTGATGTCCAGAGCATTGCTGAAGCTCTTGGCCACAGCTTTTCTCATGCTTCTAGCACTTCTGTTTCTTCCTCTGCCTTCTTGGCCATCAAGTTTTGGGCAGAGCGATTACCTCTTTCAGGGTTGATCGTCTCTATGACTATAATCGTCCCTTTACACTGGTGGAACTCAAACTTGCTCTTCATCGGTCAGACCTGATGATGTTCATTATGAGATCCTGCACCAATTCTCTCCTGCCTATCTTGCTATTCTTCTAGTTATTTTTAACTGGATCTGGCAAGAGCATGTTTTTCCTGATGCTTGGCACCAGGCTATTGTCCTCGCTTTCTCTAAACCTCGGAAGGATCCCAAGACTCCTTCTAATTATCATCCCATCACTTTGACTAGTTGTCTTTGTAAGGTCTTGGAAAGGATGGTTAATGCTCCTCTCACCCACCCAGTGTGTGTTCCATCGACAGCGCTCCCTCGTGGACCATTTGATTTGACTTGAAACGTCGATCAGGGAAACCTTCCCAAAGAGAGAACAATTGTTTCTGTGTTCTTTGATCTCGAGAAGACTTATGACACTATGTGGAGGTATGGCATTTTGCAGGACTTCCACTCCTATGGGTTGAGTTGCCATCTACCAATTTTTATTCAGAACTTTTTACTGAACAGGCGATTCAAAGTCCGTGTGAGTTCAACTCTTTCACGTTCCTTTCCACAGGAACTTGGAGTCCCTCACTGCTGTGTCTTGAGTGTCACACTTTTTAGTGTTAAAATTAATGCTATCACTACTCATCTTCCTCCAACTGTTGCAAATGGGCTCTATGTCGACGACTTCCAAATCTTGTGTCAGTCGTCGAACATGAGGTTTATTGAGAGGCAGCTTCAGACTGCTCTCAATTGCTTGTTGACGTGGGCCACTGCAAATGATTTTAGATTTTCTTTTTCCAAAACCTTTGCATGCATTTTTGCCACTAACAGGGTCTCCACCCCAATCCTGAGCTCCGTCTTGGCGATATAGTTATTTGTGTGGTCCCTGAGGCAAAGTTTTTGGAGCTTATCTTTGACCGTAAGCTTAGCTTCATTCCGCATATCAAGCAACTACGTGGCAAGTGTGCAAGAGCTCTGAACATCCTCCATGTTCTCTCTTCCAGCTCTTGGAGAGCGGATCGATGTTCTATGCTCAGGATCTATCGTGCCCTGATTCCATCCAAACTGGACTATGGGTCTGTGGTTCTGCCAGGACCTTGGCCTTGAAGATGCTGGACCTCATTCACCATCTGGGGCTTGGGCTCTGCACCAGTGCATTTTGCACTTCTCCGGTCCAGATTTTGTACATTGAGTCCCACGAACCTCCTCCTTACCTCCGTCATTTGCAACTTTCTTTACAAAATGCTGCCAAGCTTCGATACTTACCATGGCATCCAACCTAGGATTGTGTCTTTCTTCCTCAGTGGGCCATGCTCTTTCAGAACAGACGGTCTGTAATTCCTCCCTTTGGTCTTTGTATCCGGGCGCAACTGGCTAAATTGGGTCTGACATTGGATGACATTGCTTTCGACAATGATCAGCCAATTCCTCCATGGCTTATTACCATCCCTTCCTGTGACCTTTTCTTGAGTCATCTGAGAAAGGTGGATACTCCAAATGGAAGTACCGTCTTCTTTATGCTGAACAGCTTTTGATTCATTCTTCTCTTCCTATTTACATGGATGGTTCAAAATTGGGTGACTCTGTAGGCTCTGGCATGGTTTGCTGTGGCTTGGTAGTTACTTGCAGGATCCCCTCTACAATTTCTGTGTTCACTGCTGAGCTGTATGCTATTTCTCTTGCCCTGGATCATGTAGAAGCTATGCAGTAAAGTGATTGTATTATTTACTCTGATTCTCTTAGCTCTCTACTTGTCCTGGAATCACTTAACGTTAGTTCTCACCCTGTTCTCGTCGATATTCAACAACGACTGGCCCATTTATCTCTATCTTCTCTTTCTATCCAGTTTTTCTGGATAACTGGCCACGTTGGTATTCACGGGAACGAGCTCACTGACACCGCAGCTAAGTCTGTTTGCTATGGTGCCAGTCTCATACATGGACTACGGTCCTGTCTTCAAGGCACAGCTTCGTGCCAGTTGGCAGTCAACTTGGGGTGAGAAACGTCATAACAAGCTTTTCCAGATCAAACCTTCTGTTGCTCTTTGGCCGTCTTGCTTCCATCAGGATCAGAAGGAGGAAGTTGTCTTGGCAAGGCTACGCATTGGTCACAGTTTTTTAACTCATCGTTTTCTTTTATCTAGTATTGATCCACCAATGTTTAGCCTTTGTGACACTCAAGTCACAATAATCCACATTTTACTGTCGTACCGTCCGTGAGTGGCAGCACCATTTTAGACATTGTATCATTGGCGATGGTGACACTGTCCGACTTGATTGTATTTTTGATTTTTTACACACTATTGGCCTTTTTAATTTTATATAAATCTTTTATCCAAATTTTGAATATATTTTGGTTTTAACTCGCTGTATTTTTACATTTTACTCTAATTTACTTTGACTGTGTTTACCAGTTGTTTGGCGCAGATAGCCTTGTTGCTATGCACCATAAAACACCAAACAACCAACCAACCAACCTCGCTGACTACTTTTCCCTTTATGCCAACTCGTTTACCTACACTCATGTACCCTTACCTTGATTACTGATGCATGCCTACTCAACAGTCAAGATATCCGGTAGGGGGAAAGAAATATTTCAATAAAACATTAAAAAAGTCCAAAAGATAAAACAAAATACATGATAATTCTTTCAAAAATTGTATAATAGTATAATACAAGAAATCATATCTGAGACAAGTATTATGATGCAACAGTATAAAAAAATCATAGTAATTACTCATGACACATCTGTAATAGTGTGTGATACATTTACTGTCAGTTACTGTACCTAATAAATAGCTATCAAAATGTTTGCAATCTTCAATTGATGCTTGCTTGAAGAGATTTTGAAGTTATTGGTTGTTGTAATGAGAATATGCATGCATTTATCTGATATAGAGATTCACAAATAATAAAGACATAAAATAGTGTGAAGTTGTTCATAAACATTGTTCAAAATGCAGATTAAATATGTGAATCCAAAAAAGCTTACTACTTACCATACTTTACTTTCTCACTATATAAGTAAATTATGAACAAACTGGAATCAAAGGAAGGCTAACTTCTTTTTTGGTGTTGTTATTGTTATTTCTTAAATAATTCTTGGAGGCTACTGTCTTATCTTCACCAGTGAACATATTGATCACAATTTTTACCTGAGTTTATTTTATGACATTTATAAAGGTTTGCTATCTTCATCTTCATAAATCTTTAATCATTTGAAGAGTAGCTTTTCTCATCTTTTGTTGGATATTCTTTAGTGAATAAAATGGTTCTAATTACTATTTTCGTCATATATATAAAATCTAGTTTTAGTTGTTTCAAAACTAATTCAACAGTAGCTTTACAAGACATGTTAAGATTAGATGAAAAATAAAAAATTGATTGTTTCTGGTGCATAACTTCAGTTTTGTTAAATATGTCTGTGCTTGAAAACCAGTGAAAGAAAGTAGAATTAGTGAGTGACAGATGAAGTTATATAAAATAACGACTGAAAATTGGATAAAACTATATGAACTGTGTTTATTAGCACAGTGATATGAAATTTTGGGTGGAATTTTTAAAATTTTGTTTAGTTTGGTGTCTATATATATATATATATATATATATATATATATGTATGCTTTTTAAAACAGTTTTTTCAAACATGCCAAGTTTTCTTGAATATGGGATCACTGAGAAACAAAAGCATTTTTATTAAAAATACATGCTCATTAATAAACCAAAAGATTAATATATGTGTACTGTTAAAACAAAATATATTTTATTTGTTCTTTAGTATGACAAGCCATCAGAAATGATTTTCCCTCCACAACTAGAAAGTCTTGAGAACAACCTAGATATAAAAACAGCCCAAGCTGAACGTTGCTACTATAACTGTGACTACCAACAATGTTTTAAAATCACATCTTTGTAAGTATAAAATATATTTTACTTGTCTTGAATTTCTTAGGATAATTTTTGGATTATCATGTGTAATCAAATAAGATTGTAAGGAAAAAAGTTCATAATTAATAGCATTGAATAATGCATGGACTTGAAACTGTATAGCTTAGCTTTTGTGATAAAAATCATGTAAACTGCAGATGTTGTTTATTTTTTCCACATTCCTCATAGATTTCAAATCAAAGGTGCATAAATAGATGCCAAATCTGTTTTTGTTTATCACAAGTTATTGCACAAGAGGCAGAACTGGTCAGTTTGACTGGATGATGACAGACAGAGACCTCTTGGGCAGTGAGTAGTGGGAAATTATTCTCATATAAGGAAGAAATGCTGTTTTCACACACATATTGTGATGATTTCTGTATCCAGAATATGATTTATTAAAAGTAACTAGTCTTGCTGACTAGTGCTTTTACAAGTTGATCTCAATGGGTTTAAATGGTATGACACTATTTTGAAGGCAAACATTATTTAAAGATCACAAACCAATTATTATAATTGCACTTACATATTTTTGTAAAGATGGTAATTTTAAAGAATTACAAGATCTATATTCAATTTACAACTAGTTTTTGTTGTAAAAATGTTTTTACACCTTGTAAATACAGAGATGCTTATTATTAGCCTGAATCTTAAAGCACCATATTTTTAACAGTTTTTAAATTTTGTATTTTTTGTATTTTGTTAGTTGTCATTGATAAAAATTGTTCAACAGAAATTCTGTTTCAATAAGATTCAATAGTTTGTATTTTGATATTTCTTATTTCTAACTATCCTTTATTGCAGTTATAAAAAAGAAACAAAGGAAGATTGTAACCTGAAAAAATATGTTAATTATCAGTTATTGTTGGTTAAATCTGTAAATTCAAACCAAGTTCTTGATTTCATTGAGAATTTTTTACTGTGTATTCTTTCCTACCTCTACTGGCCCGGCATGGCCAGGTGGTTAGTGTGCTTGGCTCACAATCTGAGAGTCATGAGTTCAAATCCCTGTCCCATGAAACATGCTCGCACTTTCAGCTGTAGGGGTGTTATAATGTGACAGTCAATCCCACTATTCGTTGGTAAAAGAGTAGTCCAAGAATTGATGGTGGTGGTGATGATTAGCTGTCTTCCCTTTAGTCTTTCACTGCTAAATTAGGGAAGGCTAGCACAGATAGATCTTGTGTAGCCTTGCTCAAAATTTAAACAAAAAACAAACCTACCTCTACTAATGATTGGATTGTGCTTTTTTTCTTTTTACATTGCTAGCAAACCATTCAAATAATCGCTAATAAAAGTTTCTATAACATTACTGTAGCAGAATATTAATCAGTATTATTATTATCTTTACATCAGGAATGTTAACTATAAATACTTTATTATCTGTTTCAGATGTATAAAAATGGGAGGCCCTGTAGTCGAGTTGTTTGGGGTTCAACTTCAACACCAGTTACAAATGAAATTTATTTATTTCCAGATATGCTGTCATGAGTGGGGTACACAGGTTACCAACTTGAGGAAGTTTACAGTTAGAATAAAGAATTGACTCAGAGACTGAGATTCAAAACACATACAATATTTTAATACAAAATATTCAACTATTCATTACATTGAAATTACCAAAAACTATTGCATTAAAGGAATCAAATTCTTTGTTCTGAGTGAGCAACTGTTCATTAATCAAACTTTCAGTAATATTATTCAGATAATAAACAGATTATCAATTAAAACATTATGCTTAGACATATATTAATTTTTGAGTTCTTTTGTCTTGTTGGTCAACTCCAATGTTTTATCAATCCAAAACCCAAAGTAACTGTTAATTGGGTATGGTGAAGGTTGTTTATCGGCCACCTATTTACATGTATTTCTCTTCGTATTCTTTTCTGCTACAATTACATCTGTTTATGTAGATAAGACAAACTCCTGGTTTATACTGTAGCTTGGAATGCATCTCAGTATTTGTTTAATGTATACATTTCCTTCTTTGGTCAAGTGTCTCAATGTGGTTTACATTAGACATATTCTGGTGTGCACTTATTTTCTTCACTTAACATGTATGTGTGTCATACATGAATATTTATGAAAAAAATTATTTTTTTCACCAAAGCATTTGTAAATCTCATAAAATGCCTCAAATGCTTCATTAGGTAAATTTGTTATTTTATCATCTTGTATTTTTAGAAACTTTATAGTATAATGGGCCTTTGAAGTAATCTTCTTCTTTTGATTTTGTTACTTAATGTTTTTTTTCTCCACAAACCATTATCATACAGCAGCAAAAGCCTATTATGTGCTTACCAAAATAAATACACCAAAACATATAAGTTTGAAATTTTTCTTGGTACAAACTGTTTAATCTAATGGTAGTTTCATAAATAATAATAACAACAAATAGTTATATCCAGTCTTTAGAAGTTGTAAAACTCTTAAGTCAGAAATATGAATCAGATATTTTCTAAAACCACTACAATTCTGTAGCCTTGGACATAAAAGAGTTCTGTTTGTTTTAATTCCTACAAAGATTTATTTTAGAAGTGCTACCTACTTCTCTGCACCATAATGGGCTATTACCTCATGCATGCAACTCCCATGGAATTTCCTGTACATGCAACAAGTTTTGAACAAATTTCTACCATTACACTTTTCCATCAATATTGTGCTAGCCTATAACATAATCATCATAATGCTGTAGCCTTCCACCAATAAGAAGGTAACATGACCTGTGCATGTTATCCTCTGTGAGAATTGGCAAATGATCATTGGCTCATACTTTCTTTGGCATTGCCTGTGTTCAGATTGTTGTTTTTCCTATGCATTACGAGTGTTTCTGCTATTTTGATTGGTTTTCTTTAATTTTTTGGCATTTCTTCCACCTGTTTGCACTTTCATGTTCCCTATACTCATAATCACTACAGCAATTTTGTTTTATTGTTTCCATTCAGAAAAAACAAAAAAATTAAAAATATAAATAAGTCATTTATTTTTGTAAGTGTTGTGTACTCTTTACTATGAATTTGTAATTCCACATTGCTTCTATGTTCAGAGGCTCTAATGTTCCTCTTCAAGACTCCTTTACACTTATCAGTTGTGACCAGAAGCATATTATTTGTTCATGATATTACAACTATTATGTATTGGGTGGTTTTTATACCCTTTGACCTGCTTCTTTTTTCAATTTCAGTCTCTTGTTCTATTGCCTTACCTTCAGTGGAGCCTGCCTTCCCTGTGGATAACTTTTATCAACTTTTTATTCTTCCAGTGCTTGCTTCTGATTCTTTTTCTTTTCTGTTTACTTCACTCATTACTCCAGTATGTGACATTCTTTCTCTTTGGCCTGTAAATCCTGATGCCTCTCAAATTCCTTTACTTCTGATAATTTTCTCTTTCCCCTTCACATGACATTTGTGCCCACACAAATAATTTTCTTTCCCAACTTCTCATTGCTCAACATTTTGCTCATCATCCTCCTTACCTTCATGACTCCTATTTTATGGCTTATGGTTGGGACTTTTCTGTGTTTATTGAATCCCAGACTCATGAATCTCTTCTGTCTGCTTGGCCACTACTCTCTGTGTGTCTACCTTTGTGTCTTATGACAGTATACACACATACTCTCCAGTATTCTTTCCACCATGTTAACCCCTCCCTATTATTCTAGTAGTGTGTGAGAGAACCCTTATTTCCCTGTCTCTTTTTATGGTCTGTCGTTGCTTGTACATTTTTCCTTGCTTGTGGTCATCCAGTGCTACCTCTATTCTTCTTCAGGAGGCCTCTTGCCTGGACTGGTTGGTCAAGCTTTCCAAGTCCATTTTAATTCCCACTTAGTTCCAACGTTCTTATTTTTGGTCACCCATCCCTGACTCGACCTTCCTTGTGTTTTTTGTTACATCCTTCTTCTTTTTTTTGGGGGGGGGGGATTTATTCCCATTTTGGGACCCATCAGATCAATCCTGTTCATCTCTGAACAGTGGTTATTCATATAAGTAAACCCAGTCTCGTGAATCTCTTCTGTCCACTTGGGCACTCTTCTTTGTCTCTTTATTTACTCATCTTTGCCTTACTGTTATCCAGCTCCTTCACTAAATCTCTGCTCTTCTCCACCTCACTGAGGCTCTCCATTATGATCTGGAAGATCTTTTAACCTGGCTGCTTTGTTTTTGGGACATCCTTGGTCAGGAAGCTTTCCTCTCAGGTGTCTGTCTACCTTCCTCTTATTTCTGTAACCTACATCTTGCTCCTTTCATTATTAATCAGGTCTTTGGAGGTGCTCCTGCCTTCTGTGGATCCCAGGTAGAGGTTGCTTACAGTAACTATTCTTTGGAGCTAATCCTGGTTCTGGTCCCATCAGTGCTCACTTCTCCCACTTTGTACAATTGTGGTCTCCCTTCTGCAGCAACTCTTTGATTCTGTAGGTTTTCTTCTCGTTGTCTCTCTCTTTACTTTTATTTTCCACCTCCTCTTTATCCTCATCTACTTCCCTATCCCTTTCCCACTGATCCTCTGCATTTTAAGGATGCTACATCCTCTTTGTTGGTAGTAGGGGCTTTAGAACCTACCTCTAACCCTACTCTGGGCTTTTATTTCTATCTCTTTATTGTCTTCAAGAAGGTGGGAGAGTAGTTCCCTGTAATCTTTGAGACACTTTTTTGTTGTTCCTTCATTTTGGATGGACAACTTTCTCAGTCTGCATTGAACCCTCTCTCATGGGCTGTGGGTGACAAATGTCAACACTTTGGATGCATTCCTTCATATTGACATTTATCCTATGTACTGTTATGTCCAATGAATGTGTGTTTCAGTTCTATAGTCTTCCCTTTGGCTTAGCAATGGTCCCTTATATTTTCAGTTAAATCATGCATTCCTTTACTTGGCACATACATATTTTGGACATTTATTTTTTCAATTTTTATATGGATGACTGGCTTCTCCTGGCTTTGGCAATTGCTACTTTTGTTTTTCTTCGGGAGGCTCCACACAGGCTC